TCTTTTCCCTTGCCTTTCAACACAGATTCGTACCAGCTGGTGGGACCTCTCTAAGCCCCAGTTTTACTGATTGTAAATAGTTCATACCAACCTTATACACCTGCAGGGGTGTGGAAATAATTCAGTACATTCTTTGTAAGCTGTGAAAAGAGAGGCGAATGCCTGAAATTAATTATTATGAAGACACATATCAGTAAACGCAACTGACGTATGAACAAGGGTGGGGGAAGTTGGAGGTTAATAATAAGTGTCTACTTACCAAAGGGTGGACGGGTCAATTTTGCTGAATTAGTAGGGGCAAATGTGTAGGGTTGCAACAAGTTATTTTCAAATTTTTGACTAGTAGCCAGGTGCTCAGAAGCATACAGAGCATGCTCAGAGCATACATTCACATACATTGTCTCATTTAATCTTCAGCCCAAGTCTTCCAGGCTGCATCCTCACCTCCACTTTATAGATGGAAATTGAATTATAATTTCTCTCCAAGAGCATTAGTGGTCGAGGCAGGGCCTAAATCCAGTTTGATACACCATTGTGCCTTTTAATAAAAGAGGTTCCTCAGCTACGTATCTATTTGTTTATCCAAAGATCAATTAGTCCTGTCAGCTTTTACATACAATGCTGTGATTCTGCATTTGTTTTAGTTGCTTTTTGCCCCGCCCATAACCTCCCCCATCTTGTGACTTGTAGAATCTGTATTCTGGCCTGCTGGCTATTTCAGGAGCACCTATCTATTTTTTTTTTTTTCCAGTGTGCTTGATTATAAGACAGGAAGGGAAGTATTAGAGATTCTAATTAATGTCTCCAAAGTGGAGAAGAGAAAAAAAAGAAGACCTGTGATAATTGCCTATGATAACTCATTTCTTGAGAAACCAGATAATTGGTAAGTACCTGGAGTTTCTCCAGTTATGCCAAGATTATCCCAGCCAGCTTCTAGAACAAGGGGATTATGAAGCACGGCTTTGAAGAGATGGGAAGTGAGGCTGAAAACAGGAAATAGTTTAGGCGTGCCATTCCAAAGGAGATTCTCAGTGGGAAATAGTTTAGGCAGTAATGTTGTGTGAAACTGAGTGGGTAGAAACAGGAAGCTGCCATCCACACTGATCTTAGGAACGGAAAATGCCTAGCATACTGGTTATCATCAAGGGCTTTTGGTACTAGACTGGATTCAGATCCAAGCTTCACCATTTACGGTCTCTGTGACTTGCAGGGAATTGTTTAATTTCTCTGTGTCTCAGCGTCTAGTCTTTAAAATGGGAAAGAGGGGGCGCCTGGGTGGCGCAGTCGGTTAAGCGGCCGACTTCAGCCAGGTCACGATCTCGCGGTCCGTGAGTTCGAGCCCCGCGTCGGGCTCTGGGCTGATGGCTCAGAGCCTGGAGCCTGTTTGCGATTCTGTGTCTCCCTCTCTCTCTGCCCCTCCCCCGTTCATGCTCTGTCTCTCTCTGTCCCAAAAATAAATAAACGTTGAAAAAAAAAATTTAAAAAAAAATAAAATAAAATAAAATGGGAAAGAAAAGAGTACATCCATCCAATGCTGACTATGAGTATTCTATGATATAATGTATGTAGAATGCTTAGGACAAGGCGGCGCCCGGGATGCTGTGAATGCTGAATAAATAGTAGAAGGATTGTTGCTCTCATAAGATACTGCGACATGTCACTTGCGCCTTGTATCTTCGACAAGGTTTACCTGGAATAGTATGCGGCAGAACAAAGGTGCTCAGTGAAAGGTTGTTGGAGTATTGCTCTGCCAAAAATGTTGTAATGGTAAAACTGTGTGGTGGGTTGATGGTTTGGGTGGTGAGAGTACGTTGACCAAGGTTCAGGGGAGGCTTCTGGTAAGATGGGTAGGTGTAGGACAGCCTCCTTATAAAAAGAAAATTTATTTTCGAGTCAGTGAGAAGGGCTCATGAGAGCTGGTTTTCAGTCCTAGCTCTGCCACCAATAAGGTGTGTGAGTTTGGACAATTCACCTTTCTCCCGTGGTATTTCCTCCTTTTTAAAAAACAACGAGTTGAGACGAGATGCGTGGCTGCTAACTGTGGGCTGGGAGTGGAGAGTATATCAGAAACGATTTTTAAACTTTGTGTGTCTGCATCTTCATCCCCCATCTTCCCTTTGTCTTTAGGTCCCTTCCTCGCTTGTGAAAAATTCTGTCTTTCCTGGTAACCACATAGTATATAAAGTACCTCACTACACAAGCGGCAATCTTGTAACCCAGAAGCCAAGCAAAGAGTTGTCTTCATGTTCATTTGTGTGACAAAGTCTGAGTGGGACCGTAACTGTAAATGCATTGGGCTGATCTAGGAAGTGCTATTTAATAGCCCGAGTCAAATTTCAGCAGCCTATAAAAAGGGTAGAAGCAAGGGATTTTTTTAAAAAAAACGTTTATTTATTTATTTATTTATTTATTTATTTATTTATTTATGGGGGGGAGGGGCAAAGAGGGAAGGGACAGAGGATCTGAAGCCAGCTCTGCACTGACAGCAGAGAGCCTGATGCGAGGCTTGAGCTCATGAACCATGAGATCATGACCTGAGCCCAAATCAAGAGTCGGACACTTCACTGACTGAGCCACCCAGGCTCCCCCAAACGAGGGATTTTTAACCCTTGCCGTTTGTACTTCACATGACCCCAGGCTATGAAATAGGTAAGGACAGACTGATTTGGGGGAGAGAACTTTAAGACGTCTCTGGGAGCAGTTTAAGGGGGGTCTGATTGTCGTAGTCCTTATTGGTAATAGGAAAGGATTTCCCTTCGTCAGACCGATTGCTGCCTTGGATGCAAAAGTAACCAGTGTGTTCACCTCAATCCATGAGAGCAGCTCTGTGGAAGGTCTGTTGACCAGACCTACCTACTACGTACAGGTGCTTCAGAGGACAGCGGAGGGTTTGCACGTGGGGAAGGGGGAGTTGAAGAGAGAGGTTTATCGGACCCCAGGAAGAGAAATGCTGTTCTGTTATGCTTTTATGAGACCTAGAAAAAATAGCATGGTATTGTGATTCAGCCCCGCTAGCTAATTGAAGGAAGACTTAAATACTGGAGTCCCAGAGGAAAAGCGTTCATGATCGTCAAACTTGTGGGATCCAGCATAAGAGGGGTGGAAATACACTGGATTAGGAATCCTAGTTCTGTCCTACTTCAGCCCTGCTACTAACTTGCTCTGTAATCTTGAGCAAGTCTGAGTTTTACTTCCCAATATGTAAACGTGACTGGGCTGATGTCTCCAATATACATGCTGGCTTTAATAGTTTGGTCCCAAGATTCTATGATGTAATAATGGAAACTTACCAACATTAGAACATTACAGATCGGCCAGGTAGGTTGAAGAGGGTGGTACAGGAGAGAGGGTCTCTCCTACTTGGTGAATTTATACCGGAGAAAAAAAAGGTAATCCCTGAATGTTGGAATAGTGATCCTTACTCCTTAACTTCCTGTGAAATTGTTGGTTCCAGGAATATAGACGCAAGGAGAGGTACAGAGCTGGGAGTAGGTATGTGGAGACACGAATCCTTTAAATTCTGATCAATCAATATCCTTCAAGAAAGTAAAGATTGTTAGGTTGTATTCTATGACAGTGAAGTGTTGTTTTAAGAAAGGGGTGAAAAGTGAGATTTGCCTTTTAGAGAGGTCATTCTTGCTGTGCGTGGTATGGAGAATGGTTTGGAGGCAGGAGAGACTGGATGATGAGATCCTGACGATAAGATCCTCATGGTGGAAGGGCAGTGATAATGGAGAGGCTCTTTGGGAGAGGGAGGAGTTGAGAAAAACGCCCAGGTTTCTGGTCGGGGCAACTGTGAAGATGTTTCCAGGAAAGAGTAGAGGACAGTGATTTAATACTTATGAAGAAATGGAGCAAAGAGGTATCCGAGGCTTTGGTGTAGTCTCTATGCTTTCTTAGCTGCCAGATAACTTTCAAATACTTTTTAAATCTCAAAAAAGAGTATATGTATCAGTGTATTTTCTTTGTTGCTAGGAGAGAGGATTGCTATGGAGATCGATGATCTCATAATTCCCACTGTGAGCCAGTGACACTCTGGTGGGTCTGGCTCAGTCAGTCTTCAGGCTGGAGGCTATTTGAAGTCATCTTATCTTGGCTCTAGCATGCCATGTACGGGAAGGTCTCCTTAGGTGGGGTGGGTATGAAGGGATATGGGGGGTTTGGGGTACATTTGTTTTGCCTTTTTCATGCTCTTGTAGAAAAACGAGACTAGAATCCTCCCTTTCCAGTTTTTCGGTTCCAAACTTGATTTTTTTTGGTTTCCACGTTCAAAGGGGCAGTTTTTCCAAATGCTGGGAGAAAGCGCACAGGAGTTTCCGAATGCATTTTTTTTTTAAATTTTTTTCAACGTTTTTTATTTATTTTTGGGACAGAGAGAGACAGAGCATGAACGG